AATCCGATTGAGTGTTCAAAATTCATAAGGAAGATATTTCTGAAGAGAAACTGTGAGGGCCATCCTTCATGTATAATGAATCCAGAAGATGTGGAACCACAATGTTATCCCTCATTCATCAAGAAACGAGGCAGTCACAATCCTCTCAACCAGTAAAGACAAGCTAATGTCACACATTTTGTTCAAAAAGTCAAAAATCGAGAAAAAGAAAAAGCCTGCTAAGTCAAAAAAACATGAAAACGTGTGACTTAGGCAAAATTAAGGCATCCCGCTGGACTATCAATTCAAAAGAATTAGTTCAGGCAAAAGTTAGGGAAAATAAAAATTGCAAAGAAAAGGACTGCAAAGAAAAGTCCTCAGCAAAGAATAAATTGATGACTACAAACACGAAGACATGAGGGTGGTTTCTACTCCGAAAGCCTCGTCGTTTCCTTGACCGTCACAAAATCCTTTTGAGAGATGAACACTCATGTTGAATTAACTGAACATAGGGTTGGAGAACATCATGAAGGGGGTGGGCACCAAATATTTTGAGCCTTAAATCCTTTTTTCTAAAACCATGAACCAGACCACATTACAACCTTCAAAAGTCCTAATTGAAGCAAGGTTATTTTGAAAGCATACTTTAATGAGATAGTGTTCCTGACTCCCATGAATGTTCTAAATAGTTATGTTGGTATCATATGTTTTTCCTATACAAAAATAAATGGTGCTTTAACTCGCAAAATTTGTGCGATATCTTTCAAAATCTTCAAGACTTACATAATTGTTGCATTAGAATTTTCATTCTCATTGTAAACTTTTTCTAACTACAAAACATTTGTTTGATATCAAGGAAACTCACATATAAGCACCAGTGATGAGTCTATTCTTAAGGCCTGAAGCTCTGTTGAGTAATTGGCGGATCACGTCAAGAAAAAAATCATATCCAGGGGCATGTCACCTGAGGACCTTAAGCACGGACATGTTGCTTCTCCTAATTAATGCTTTCCTAACTTGTTTACTCTTTTGGGGCAAAATTTGAAGACTTTGTTGTGCCAACTACAGTCAATCCGGGGCAATCACGTCGAGATTTGATGAATTCCTCTAAGAGTTTGAAGACACCAGAGCATGGTGAATGCCAGGTCTTTTGTAAAATCCTCTTGAGACGATTTCTCCTCATCAACCAGATAGCTTGGGGAATGTTAGAAGTGAAGCTATTCTCAAGAATTGTCGTGCAACATGCAGCTCATCAGCAGTAAACTTGGAGCATCCAAAATTGGTCCCAGGGTCAATCTAGATTTGTCAAGATATGTGATATGTATTGCACACATTATCAGAGGGTGGTGTTCCCAGTATCTCCAGCTAAGCAAGACTTCTTTCCAGCTGAAACTTTGTTTGTGTTGTTATCCTTTCAATGGATTGTTTGCAATAGAAGACTAGACTTTGGGTTTTCTATCTGAAAATATCTTCCTATCCGGAGATATTTAAGCCTTGTAAAAGGACCTTGCTCCAATGATGGCCTGTGTTTTATCTCCAGTAATGTTCCCATCCTGTTGAGATTAGCCGAGTGTTGGGTTGTGCTATGATGCCTTATCATCTCCGGTTTATCTTGTCTGTTCGTTTTGTCAGCATATACATGACATCCATTTATTCATTCACACTTGAATCATGCATGCACAGTTGTATTTGTTGATGTCTTTGAGTACGTATACCTTGGTTATGTCTATTCAAATAGCGTATTTGATCTTTCCAAATAGAATGTCAACTTAAGCAGAAAGTGCGCCTCCTTTCTAATTCCCCACTGAGTTAACTCTCGTGGAAGAATCTTGCTTCAGCTTTCCTTTTCCATCTCTGGATAGGATAAATCCCCATTTGAGTTGTTTCCTCATTGGATGGAGTCTTGTTTGACTGTTTTCTCTCCAGTTTATTCCTGGGTTGAGCTTTGTCTCTTGTGAATGATACCCTGTGGATCTCTCTAGGCTGTGAAACCTAGATGGAAAGTGCATTTATTTCGCAATGTAAATACTTGGTCTCCTCAAGAAGGATTTATTCATGGTTCCCCATTGAAGATGAACTTTATTCCCCAGTAGTGTTATCACAACTTTCTTCTGGAATATCGACATGACAACAAGCGACTGACTCTTTTTTGAGCAGTTTGATTATTTCTGTTTTCTCTACGACAAATGGCGGTCTCTTCATGAGCAGTTTGTCCATCCTCGATGAAATTATTGATTCTCACCTCCAGCAATATCTTCACGATATTTTATGGGTATATTTTTGGGAAACAGCAAGCGGCAGTCTCTTCATGAGGCAACTTGTGTGTTATGGATACTCTTGACAAACAGCAAGTGGCAGTCTCTTCATGAGGCAACTTGTGTGTTATGGATACTCTTGACAAACAGCAAGCGACAGCCTCTTCATGAGCAACTTGTATGTTATTGACACCTTTGAAAACATCAAGCGGCGGTCTCTTCATGAGCAACTTGTATGTTATTGATACCTTAGAGAAGACAGCAAGTGACAGTCTCTTCATGAGCAACTTGTTTGTTATTGTCACCTTTGAAAACATCAAGCGGCGGTCTCTTCATGAGCAACTTGTATGTTATTGATACCTTGGAAAAAAAACGGCAAGCGGCAGCTTCTTCATGAGCAGCTTGTGGGTTATTGGCAACAAGTGGCAGACTCTTCATGAGCAGCTTGTGTGCTTTGATATTCTTTGAAGACAGCAAGTGGCAGCTTCTTTATGAGCAGCTTGTGGGTTATTGGCAACAAGTGACAGACTCTTCATGAGCAGCTTGTGTGCTTTAATATTCTTTGAAGACAGCAAGTGGCAGCTTCTTTATGAGCAGCTTGTGGGTTTTTGGAAACAAGTGGCGGACTCTTCATGAGCAGCTTGTGTGTTTTAATATTCTTTGAAGACAGCAAGTGGCAGTCTCTTCATGAGCAGCTTGTATGTTATTGACACCTTTGAAAGGAAGCAAATGGCGGCCTCTTTATTTGAGCAGCTTGTGTATCCCCAACAATAATGTCTACTCAGCAAATGGCATCCCTTTCGGAAAAGTCCCATGGGGAAGTTTGTTATTTTATCCTTTTCAAGTGATATCTTGGTTAGAGAAGAAATGTGTTACCGTTCTTGGTAAAATTCAGAAATCAGAGATGTTTATCTCCAGCCACAGTGCTGATGTCAATCATTTTATCTCCAGCCACAATGCTGATGTCAATCATTTTATCTCCAGCCACAGTGCTGATGTCAATCATTTTCCAATCTAAGTACTGATGTCCATCATTTCCTTTTCCAGTCACAGTACTGATGTAAATCATTTCTTTTCCAGTCTCAACACTGATGTAAATCATTCAAGAGTCTCTCATTTGAAGTCTATGACTTTGTTTCCCCAGTGGAGTTACAACCTCTTCCTCTGTGGGATTACTGTATAATATGCTTGGTTTCTCCAGCATAGTTTGTCTCATATGGCGTCGTTCCCCATAAAATTCAGAGCATTACATTCATATCATATCATGAACATAATCGCGGTATCTTAAGGCCAAAAATTGTGTATTCGATATTTAAGTCCCTTCAATCTCGTCGAAATGAAGATCCCAATCTTCATATCTCCAGATAGAAGAAACTTAAATAGGGGCAGCTGTTGTACCCCAATTTTTGACCTAAGATCCCATTTTTATTTTTGCATTTTTAAAGATAAGTCAAGGTCACGAAATACAGTCGGTTTTAACCTCTCACTTTCAAGCTTTGACTATGCGAAGATTGTCAAGTGTTTTTGAACATTTTTAGCCTATGTATCACTAATTTCTAATCGCATACAAAGGTGTATGTTCATGTTTTCTTTTGTTTCATGTGCAGAGACAGGTCTGAATCAAGAGCATCAGGTGTCGCGCCCCAATTAAGGTTTTGAGTCTCCCAAGCCAAAAATACGGTTGATTATGGATTCTCGAAGACTGATTCATCAAGGCACAACTGTTGCACCCTAAATGTCGCCCCTAATTTTTTTCAGTCGCACATTCATACCATATTTTGTCATTTGGTCACAATCATTAGTAAATACCTTCATTCATCCCATTTTTCATCATTATTCGTATTTAAGTTGACCAGAAAAAGTCAGTTTAAATCAAAGTTTGCATCGTCTTTTAGTTATAAAATACCTGACATTTCACTTCATGCATTTACTCGTTTCTTGCATTGCTCCAAGTTGTTTATATGTCGATAATAAAAATATTTTGGTTTTATAGACAAACTGTTAAAAGCGATTCTACAATGTACGAAAAATTAGCGAGAAAAAGATTTCAAGTTTTCACCTTTTACTGATCATTTTATGAATCCGTGTTTCGCGTAGATTATGACGGTATGCTCGATTTATTATTTTGATACAGTTTGAAGTCTCATTTTTAACCGTAAATGTTTGTTCAGCCTGATATTTTTGTTCTCATTTTATTTTGATTTTGATCATTTTAATATTTTTTTTCATTTATCTTTGAGACGTGTAGTTTATTTTAATGTGTTCATTTCATTTTTTCGGATAGATTTTTGTCCATTTTTTACCGTTTTTAGTCATCTTGGGTCTCTATTTTTTATATTCAAAAATAAATATAATTTGTTTTTTAAATTGAGTTAATTTTATACTTTTAGGTTTTTAAGTTATTTTTATCATTAAAGGGCTTTTCTGTCATAAAAAAATGTTTGTTACACTTTGCTTTGCTCTCATTGGTTGTAAGCAAGATTTGAGGATCGAAACAAAATTTTGCCTTCACAGAGTCAGTGGAAATTCTTCAATTCAACACACACAACAAAAAAACAATAAAAACAACTCACCCAAAGAAATCTCGTCCTCTCTCCCAACGACTACTTTCACTCTGCATTCCTCTCTTCCCTTGCTACACAACCAAAGCAAACAATTTCCTCTTCTCTTTATCAACTCCCCCCTTTCGTTAATCTCTAGCCTACTATTCAACAACCTTTATCTGGATATGAGGTTGCTACTGAGTATGTGAAAAGGCTTGGAGCAATGATAGATAATCATTTGCGAGTTCTTGTGGAGAAAGAAGTTGATACAATCCTAAGTAGATGTAATTTGTCAGAAAAGATGCCTCACTTACGTAATTCAATCCATAAGGATGGGGACGACGAAGTTGGTACCCCATTGGCTGAACTAGAAGATACAAGTCCAGCCGTTATTTCAGAGTGTTTGAAAGCCCTGCTTGGTCTTATTTTGGGAAGCGAAATTTCCCTGCCTGAGTTTGAGCAGATACAGGTTCCAAAGTTGCATTCTGAAGCTTCTATAGGAGTGGCCAGATCATTGGGTGAAGCTTATGAGCTTATTTATAAAGCTATAATGGATCCCAAAAAATGGGAATCCAGATCCCAGGTCGTTGGCAAGGCATCCTCCTAATCAGATAAGAGCTATATTAGGGATATGAATTCTATTTCTAGTGATATGTTTTACTCTAATCATGCTCATTATGTTTGTTAATTACATAAATAACCTTTCTTATCACATTTAAAATTGTGTTTGCTATACCAATTTTTTGAGTTACTGAATCTTAGTATTAAATGTTATGTTATGGATTAATAATAGATTTTCATTATTTGATTGGAGGAAATGCTTTTAAAAAAATATAAAAAATATATTAGTAAATCTTATAATTAATTTAGTTTAATATTAATTTAGAATTCTTTAATTAGTTTAGATTTATTTTATAACTTTAGAATTTTATTTCATTTAGTAAATTTTAGAATTTTATTTGTTTTAGTTTAGTTTAATAACTTTAGAATTTTATTTGATTTTATTTAAGTTAACTTTAGAATTTTATTTGTTTAGTTTTAGTTTAATAATTTTAGAATTTTATTTGATTTTATTTAAGTTAACTTTAGAATTTTATTTGTTTAGTTTTAGTTTAGTGACTTTATAATTTTTATTTGATTTAGAATTAGTTTAATAAATTTATAATTTTTATTTAGTTTAATAACTTTAGAGTTTTTATTTGAGTTAAATTTAGTTTAGTAGTTTTAGAATTTTATTTGATTTAGATTTAGCTTAGTAACTTTGAAATTTTCATTTGTTTTAGATTTAATTTAGTAACTTTAGGATTTTAATTTAATCTAGATTTAACTTACTAAATTTTAAAGCCTTAGTTTAGTTTAGATCAAATTCAATAATACTAGATTTTTTTTATAACCTTAGAATTTGTAATTAGTTTAGAATTATTTTAGTAAGTAATTTTTTAATTTAGTTCGAATAACTTCTTTATATAATTAGTTATATTCCTTGTTATTTGTATATTTCTGTCATTTCAATTTCTCGGTGCCTCTTGATCATTAATTTGTTTTTGTCAGATTTATTTTCTTGTGAACTTCTGAATGTTTATATTTTGATGTTCATTTTATTTTGCTTACTCCAAGGAAAATAATTAAATTTATTGACTCCATGTCATCAGATATATCGGATACGATTGCGCGAATCCCTTCATTCATTTTTTTGTCTTACTATTTTGTCACTCTTAAGTTAATCTCCCAAAAGACTCCATTTTCAAACTCACACCTTTTAAGCCAAAACTTCGACACTAGGTCGTCGTATCTTCAAAATCTCATTCATACCCATTTTGACCAAATAAACCATTTTAATCAAACAAACAATTTTAACCAAAAAACAGATATTTCAAAAGGTTCATGCGGAGTACCGCAGATGCATTGGGTGCTAATACCTTCCCATTGTATAACCAACCCCTGAACTCTCGATCTCTTTCAAAAACGCATTGTATTTTTATTACTTTTAAGTATTATTTTACATTGCATATTTTAGGGTTTTATTTCGCTCTTTTCCCTTTTCCCTTGGAAACAATAAAGCGCGGTGGAGACTCTTGCTTTTGTGAGTCAAGTTAATTAATAGCTTGATCTTCGATTTTCACCGCTACACTAACAACACTGGAGCTCCCCACGGCGATACACTTGGTCTTACAAACTTCTTTTCAAGTAACTCCTCCAATTGCTTCTTTAACTCTGACAATTCAGATGCAGACATCTTGTATTATGCCATAGACACAGGTCTGGTACCAGGTACAAGATCAATAGCAAATTCAACTTCCCTCTCCGGCGGTACATCAGGAATTTCATCAGGGAAAACTTCAGAAAATTCACACACCACCTGCAATTCCTCAATTATAGCTTGAGTCTCTAAAGATAGCGACGCCATCAACGAGAACATTTGTGCTTCCTCTTGCATCAACTTCCTCAACTGTCTAGCAGACAACAGACCATCTTCTTATGCTTCAGGAGTAGAAAACTTCATCGACTTGTCATAATAGTTAATATGAACACAGTAATGCTCCACCCAGTTCATACCCAAAATCACATATAAACCTATTAACGGTAAACAAACCAAATCGACAGCAAAGTCTCTGTCGAAGATCGACAAGGGACACTTCAAACACACAAAAGAAGTAGTCACCGACCCCTTGGCTGGAGTATCGACGACCATTTCTCCATTCAAAGAAGACAACACAAGACCCAATCTTCCAACACAATCAGCAGCAATAAAACAATGTGTAACACTGGTATAAATAATAGTAATTAAAGGAGTACTATTAATGAAACATGTACCTATGATAAGTCTGTCCTCGGAAACTGTCTGATCCTCAACCAAAGCAAACACTTTACCACTTGTCTGAGCCCTCTTCAGTTTCGAACACTGACTACCAATGTGACCTTCTTCTCTATAATTGAAATAAATCACATCCTTATGTTCACACTCAGATACAACATGTTCGTTCTTGCCACAACGGAAACACCTCTTCACTTCATTAGTGCACACATTACTCTTATGCCCAGATTTTCCACACTTAAAACAGACCACACCAACAGGAGCATCTCCCTCACTAGTCCTCTGACTCTGAGCAAATTTTTGTTTACCTTTACCAGCTGGGGCATCATAAGGCTTACCATACTTCTGTTGGTGCTTACCCCTCTTCTCAGTGATAATCTTGTAATGAGCATTATTATCCTCCTCACAAATCCTGCAGCTATCAACCAAATCAGCAAAGACACGGATCTTCTAGTATCCAACTTCCTTCTTGATCTTCGGGCGCAACCCGTTCTCAAACTTGATACACTTCAAAAACTCAGCATCTGCATCAGTGTAATGTTAAAAAAACTTAGCCAACTCAGCAAACTCGGAAGCATACTCAACAACTGACATATTCCCTTGCTTCAACTCAAGAAAATCAATCTCCTTCTTACCACGGACATCTTCAGGAAAGTACTTCCTCAGAAACTCCCTTCGGAACACAGCCCAAGTGACATTCTCACCTGCAGCTTCCAACTTCTGACAAGTCTCTAGCCACCAGTCATCAGCCTCAACAGCTAGCATATGAGTCGCATACCAAACCTTCTGCGCTGGAGTGTAGTCCATCACACGGAATATTTTCTCAATCTCTTTCAACCACTCCAATGCTCCGTCGGGATCATACTTTCCCTTTAACGTAGGTGGATTCTCTCTCTGGAAAGTCGCCAAGCTACGAGATCCAGCATTCCCATCAGCATTCGGCTGATTTTCCATCGCATGAGCCATTACTTCTAAAGCAGAAGCAAGTGCAGCATCATTCCTTCCAGCCATCTCAACTTCTCACTACACATAAACAACGGTTAGAACTCAAATAAACAATACTCTATTGTTAGACAACTACGACTCGACGACAAGGTCGGACCAACCTTTTGCTCTGATACCAACTTGGTAACACCCCAATTCTACCCCGGCAAATTATATAAATAAATCAGAGTTATAAAAATCATTCATGCAAACGAATCGGGATGCCACAAATTCTTCTATCAAAATTCATTGCATTCATCGTGGATATATAACACTTTTAAAACATCGGATGAACCATCATCATAACATCTTTGATTAAATAATTCAACATCTACGCAACGGAATTCTTAATAAAATCTTTATCATCATTACAACAACTTCAAACCAACTTAATTTAATAATAATCAACTTAAGGTTCAACAACTGAATAATCAACAATCAAAAGCAACAAGCGTTCATCCCCCCGAGTGTTACATATGAAAGCAATGACACCGACTCAAACTACCGAAGGTATACAGCCTTCACTCTCAATTACCTGCACGTTACCAACATAAGGGCAACATTCAAACAGAAGGGGTGAGATATCTAACAATATAATAAAGCGCATGATAATTAATATATTAAATTAGATCACATAACATCACCACTTCTCATCTCATACTCAACAATAATCACGGCAATAATACACAATCACAACATCAATACACACTTCTTTATACAATCATATAATGCGACTCAATACTATGAAAATGCATGTGGTACCATTTGGAGCAGAACTCCCATCTCAAAAATTTTCCAATTAATAGAGGCATCAACAAGGCATAAGCCTTCATCTCAATATTCGCCAATACAGGCCATCTCAACGAGCTTAAGCTCCATCTCAAAATTCAATGTATGCGACTTAATCATGAATGTAATAACAACACCAGAATTAACAACATCTCAATACATCATCATCGTTGGCCAAAGGCCTACATCTCAAAAGCATCTCAACATATCTTCATCAAACATCTCATATCATTCATAATAATTCATCAAACATCATTTATTTATCAAACACAACTTCAGTAATAACATCTCATCAAAAAATCATTTGTACTTTAATACGACAGTAACTCACACTGCTATTCTGTAATATTACATCATTAATATCATTACTCCTACTGTTACAAACCAAACAGCAGCCTATAAACATTTCATCCTCGTCATTCTGCATAAAAACCAACATAACGATCAACACGGGAACTAACTCTAAATCCTAAATTGGCTACTAGGATTACACCTCTTATTCTTTGTTTTAATCCTCTAGAATAAAGTTCATCGCGTTAGCTATTCAACGTTTCGAACGACATCTCAAACAGCATCCTAAAACTCAAGTTACAACATTTATAAACTGAATCTTCCAAAAACTAAACAACATGGATCGACGCGTACTGCACTGAACTCGCAACATGAGTCGACGCATTCCTTCATGTATCGACTCATCCTGACTCAAACACACAGCATGTATCGACATATGCTCCTATGGATCAACTCATCCTGAGTCTAAAAGCACTCATGTATCGACGCAAAACCTCTTCGTGTCAACTCATACTGAGTCTCAAAACCTTCTTGTATCGACACATAGCATTTGGGGTCGACGCATCCTGTTACATCCTGCATAAATTCTGCAATTTTCTCTGCATTTTCACTACGGGTTTCATATTTTAAGCCCTAAAAACTTAATCTAATCATAGATAATCATTACTTACGGTTATCCTATAATTCTACATCGATCAAACAACATCGGGACATCATTATTCATCTAA